GGATGGACCGTCAAAAAACGGACAGGATCAGTAGGTGCGGAGCACCCTACTGGTCTAGCAACGTCAAGAGAATTTGTAGGCCTCTTGATGAAGGTTGCTCCCAACACACAAACGTTGTGCGTTGCTGCTCTAGGTAATGAGGTCTCACTCATTACCTTGAAACTCGAAGTGACGAATAAGTTGTCCCTTCGAGCTCTAGTCGATTGTGGGGCGTCCAACAATTTTGTGCGACGCCAATCGCTAGAAGATGGTCACTTTAAGTTCAGTGAATGTGACACACCTCCTACGAGGATGACGGTACGTCTTGCGACAGGCGTATCCGTAACCGTCATGAAGCGTATAGTGAAGATCCACTATACGCTAGAAGATACCCAATATGACGATGACTTTATCGTATTGGATTTGGATGACAAATTTGATGTCATCCTTGGAATACCGTGGCTCAGAAGGTACGAACCACGGGTAAACTGGCAACATCGAACAGCAACGATGCCTGCAGCTTGTTCATCAGATGGCCATCTGATGAACGTTTTGGAGCGTCCACAAGCGTGTGGATGTACTACGAGTGAGTGCGATGGCCTCACTTGTGGTACGGTCGTTAGTACGACTGCACAAAACCTTAGTGTACCAAACGGTTACACTTCGGAGCAAAGTTCCGGCGGCTGTGAGGAAACACAGGCTGCGCCGAAGGTCCACCACTCGAATAAGTCGGGTGGACTGGGACAAAGATGTATCCCTAGCGGGGAACATCTAGAAGAGAAAAAATCGATCGCTCAGGTTAAGCGAAACGATAATCCTAGATCGACTGGAGAGTCTTTCGTAGAGGATCTCGCTGTGGTTGCGCAACCCCAGCTAGAGGAAGTAAAGGGAATAAGTCCCAAGATTACAAATACGGCGGAAATAAGTTCCCCGAAACCCGCGGGAATAAGTCCCCGGGAAGACGAAGGAATAAGTCCTTCGAAGCCTGAGCGAATAAGTCCCCAGGAAATGACAGAGACATTGAATTTCATAGTCAATAACGGATAAAGTGTTGGCGCTTATACACTTGATCTGATTGCGCCTCCGAAGTTGACTTCGGAGATCACTCAGTTGCCAACGCTCGAACATAAAAGGTTCTTGCGTGATCTGCGTAGTGGCAAAGTCAAGCAGATCTGCATACTCGTCGCTGACGACGAGTGTGTAACCGAGATAAGGTCAGCAACAGTTTTCATTGAGAACGAGAGAGTTCTCAGTAGATTATTTATGGACGAGAGTGTCTTAGATGAAAAGACACGAATTGAGCGATATGACTCCCAATCGTGGGAATCGCTAAAGACAAATCCTCTTTATGAAGATTTGGTTGAATTCAAGGATGTATTCCCTGAAACTGTTCCGTGCGAATTACCGAAGGATAAAGGTATTCGACACGAGGTCGAGCTTAAACCAGGCTCGAAGTACTGTGTCATGAAGCAGTGGCCACTGCCTCGTGAAAAAGTACTTGCGATCGACAAGTTCTTTGCCGATCGTTTAGCTGCGGGCCATGTGAGGGAATCAACTTCCCCACATAGCTCTCCGACCTTCTGTGTGCGAAAAGCAACAGGAGGGTGGCGGATAGTGCATGCCTTTAACAAGTTGAATGCTGCAACGGTACCGGCTCAGAAGCCGATACCGAGGAAGGACGTAATCATTGATGGTATGTCAAAGAGTACCATCTTTTCGTCCATGAATTTGACGGATGGCTTCTATCAAATCCTTATGCGAGAACGGGATATACCCTATACCGCAGTTAGCACGCCTAGAGGCATGCTCTGGGAATGGCTAGTAATGCCACAAGGGCTTAGTAACGCCCCTGCCACGTTCAACAGATGTGTATCACATCTGTTGAGACCAGTACGAGAATTCGCGCCGAGTTATTTCGATGACGTATTCATCCATAGTCGAGCTATGGATGGAAAGTCGGACGTTGAGGTTCACAGGTACCACGTCCGACAGGTTCTTACAATCATGCGAAAGCATCAATTGTATGCTAACCTCAAGAAGTGTATATTTGCAGCAAGCGAAATACCACTTCTTGGGTGCATCGTTGGTAAGAACGGTATAAGTCCTGATCCCGAAAAGATCAAGGCGATCACCGACTGGCCTGTGCCGGTTGATGTCAAAGGTCTTCGAAAATTCCTTGGGCTAGCGGCGTATTTGCATAAGTATTCACGCAATTACGCCGAGATGACTGTGCACCTCTCTCGTTTGTTGAAAAGAACGAGAGGTGGTTATGGAACGCTGAATGTCAACGCTCCTTTGATGGTATCAAGCAGAGCTTGATACAATCCCCAGTCCTAGCAATAGCCGATCAGGACAGGCCATTTCATGTGGTCTGTGATGCCAGCGATTTCGCAATCGGCTGTGCATTAATGCAGTACGATCTTGAAGGCATTGAACGCGTCGTCTGCTATCAGTCGCGTCAGCTGCAACCAGCTGAGTGGAACTATCCAGTGCATGACAAGGAACTCCTTGTCATGAAGTATGCACTCGCGAAGTTCAGAGTCTATCTTTTAGGAGATAGACCCTTCGTTGTTTACACTGACCATGCGTCATTACGCACGGCAGTGAACAGCCCGCACCTTTCACAACGAATGGCGCGGTGGCTGTCATTCTTTGCAGAATACAACTTTACGGTCGAGTACAAACCAGGACGACTTAATGTCGTCGCTGATGCACTCTCACGTCGTCCCGACTTTGAAACAGTCGCGAAACCCAACAGTGAGACAGTCACTGTTGCGGTTATGACGTCCTCAATTCCATCTACAACGTTGTATGATGATGTGAGGCGGGCATACGCCCAAGATGGTGAGATAGTGAAGTTGTTGACACATCTCTCCCAACCATCTTGAGAATCGTTGAAACGATTGTCGTCTGCGTATCGATCTGCATCAGATCGATACACTACTCGTAACGGTTTACTGTACTATACAGCCGTATCTGGTGACACACCACGTGTTGTCATTCCAGATGATACTGATCTGCGTTTGCGGATCATGTTCGAGTATCACGATGCTCCTATAGGAGGACATCGTGGCCGAGAGAAAACATATCTCACGGTAAGTTGAGACTTTTACTGGCCCCGCCAGTATCAGTTTGTGCGAAAGTATGTTCGCGCATGCGATCTCTGCCAACGAGTGAAGTCAAGTCCTTCACTGAGTGCACCTTTACAGCCTCTACCGGTTCCGGCTGAGTGCTGGGAATCCATCTCAATGGATTTTGTCTTCGGGTTACCCAAAGACGCACGCGGGAATACGGGTATTCTCGTATTTGTTGACAGATTCAGCAAAATGGTACACCTTGTGGCTGTACCAGAGACAATCACGGCAAGTGGCTGTGCTTGTGTCTTTATTGACACCATCTTCCGACTTCATGGGTTGCCCCGTGAACTCGTATCAGACAGAGATCCACGCTTCACTGCTGATTTCTGGCGTTCCGTGTTCAAATCACTCGGAACGCGCTTGAAGATGTCGACATCTGATCATCCAGAGTCAGATGGTGAGACGGAACGTGCCAATCGTGTCCTTGAAGAGATACTTCGAGGATACGTACACTCCTTTAAGAGTTGGAGTGAGTTTTTGCCAATGGTAGAGTTTGCCATCAACAACTCGGTGCATGCGTCCACGACACATACACCGTTTTACGTGAATGGCTTGCGCCATCCGCGTGTACCCACCTTACTAGAGAGTAACTCTGGTTTAAGGGGGGGAGGGACTCGCGCGAGCAAAAACCAAATTGGTTCACGCTCATCACGCTCTGACGAAGAAGTCATTGCGTTTGATGCCGATATCGATAACATCGATATCGAAGAAGATGATGCCAGTGAGAGTGCGGAAGCCCTCACTGAAGAAAAGGTTGATGTTGCTGCAGTGCGCTCACAGCACACTGAAGCTAACGAGTCATCAGATGATTTCATACTGGCTCGTGAAACGGTAGTCCGTTTTGTGCAAGATTCCATCGCCGAAGCGGAGGACAATCAAAAGCAAAACGCTGACAAGAATGGAAGGGCAAACTCTCTTTTATTTAATAAAGGTGACTTAGTCCTACAGTCTACGGTTAATCTACCAAAGCATGTAGTGACTAACTTGGGTAGCAGTAAACTACTACCCAAGTACATCGGCCCATTTCGTGTATTGCACCGCCGAGGCAATGCATACACAATCGAGTTGCCACGTAAGATGCGCACGTATCCCACGTTTTACGTTGGTCGGCTTAAGCCGGACCATCAGTACGCTGCTTCTTCCGATGAAGAACGCCCTTGCGCTCAAGCATCTCGCAGAGAGCCTTGTGCTCCCGATGGTGGGCATCGACAAGGGTTTGAAGAGCAGTTATCTCAGCCCGAGACCGATCAACAATCCCACGAGCTACCCTTAGCTCGTCACGCAGAGATGTCAGAGATCTCTCGTTCTCAAGCTGAGCAAATGCAAACTCAGCTCGATGCTTCGAGACAGCTTCCGCCAGTTGGAGACGCCTGTCCCGCTCATGTTCGAGATCGCCGCGTAACCCTTGCGTTACGCGATCAAAGAAGCTCTCGGGAACACACCGATCCACATGATCGTGTGGATAGCGTCTTCCCTCCTCCTCCACCTCCATTAGAGGACTCTCGCGGTGTCCAGCGCTATCTGGTTGAGCAGCTGTTGAACCACCGCGACGTGAACGGACGTCGGACGAGTTATCTCGTCCGGTGGCGTGGCTATCCCCCGTCCTGGGATACTTGGGAGCCTCGCTCCCAACTGATGGATGACGTACTGGGTCTGGTTGAGCAGTACGACGCGGCACATCCTGTGCCGCAGAAGGACCGCCGGAGAAAGTCTTCCCGGCACGGTCGTAAAGGATTTCAGGTTGTCAATCCCTTCGTACATCTCACTGTAGATACGTACGCGCCACCACGGGCTGGTAAGGAGGTAAGCCTCCTTAGGTGCTCGTGCAGAGTTGTTCACACAACATGGGCACGAGTCTCCCCAAGAGAGGCAGGGTAATCCTTTCTACCTTGACAGACGATGCAGCTTGTAGCGTGCACCTGTCGGGGTTCGCTTTTCAAACTTATCACGAGCTTTGATAAGTTTGTCGTTCCAAGCGTCACGACCTACATCCTCGAGGTTATGGATGTAGGCGTTCCACGCCTGAAGTAGTGAGGGACCATCACGTTTGTGATTCCCACTGTACCATCGATGTCTAAAGAAAGCATCGATGAAGAATTCGTGTTCAGCGCGATAGTTTTTCGCGCTGGGGTCAAGGTGATGGATCCTTGACGAATCGAACAATCGTGTTCGATAACGATCACTCGTCGTCGCCGACAAGTGATCCATGACGGATTTCGGAGGCATCCATGCCTTCTTTTCTGGAGCGAGACGCAAGACATTGCGGTCCCGCTCTTCCTGCGACGTGCCGACAGAAGGACTGGTACCTCGTTGCGAAGTGGTGTCCATAGGAGAACCGACACCACTATTAGCGCCCGAGTCTCGCGACCTCGAGCGCCTTCGCTTCGGCGATGATTCATCTGATTCGTCAGATGAACCAAAGATGCTGCGACGCAAAGCATCGTCCATGCCACGCTTGGCAGGCGGCTTAGATTCAATCGCCGTCGATACGGATCCGTCATCCGTATCAGGAGAGTACGAGACACCGAGCTCGTACTCTGTTAAAACACGAGTGTCTTCATGAACAGCGCCTGCATCACCAAGTGACACAGGCTGGGTCGCTTCAGCAACCGATGAGACATCAGTTGCTGTTGTTTCTGCTTCGGCGTCCGCACAGAGACGTGAGGACGCGCTCTCGGCGGCCTTGCTCGCGCATCGCATGGGCTTGTTTACCATGCGATGAAATGTTGGAAAGTGGACGCGGACCAACAAGTGCAAACTCTGTCCCAAATGATTTGGGACGAGTATTCATTTAGTTAATCAGTCACTAAAGTGACTGATGGTTAAGGGGGGGTGATGTAACGGGGTGAATCGTTACATAACAATTTATAAGAAATTGTTAATAGAATATAACTATAAGAGTTATATTCTCAGAATATTGTCATAAGGACAAATATTCTGTAGCACTTACAAGTAGTTCCTAATTGGTTGATATAGGCCATTATATCAACCAACGAAGGCGCGCCACGACAGACGCACGCAATGAGTGGTGAGCAGATAACTGATTTACACATTTGTATTTAGACATAGTTAGATGAAGATTAATAGTGATTTATTGCAGACATTAACTATTATAAATACAGTTCTACTTTTTACTCTAACCAAGTATTCGCTTTTTCTTACCGTCTTCCTCTGCACGTACCAGTGTACGTGAAGTTACGAGGCACCGCCTTATTCTGTCATCAGAATAAGTAGCTTGTACTGTCACCAGTACAAGCTTCAGGGTGCCCCGTACAAGTAGCTCGTACTGTCACCAGTACAAGCTTCAGGGTGCCCCGTTACAGCTTAGCGCTGCGGAGGTTCACTTTCGGATCTTGAAAACAGGCTTTTTAAAGTATGCGCAAGACAAAATGTACAACAATTTATAAAAGTGTGTTTTCTGTGCCCTCGAGATTCTAATACTAGGATGCTATGTAGGCAAGGAAGGCGTCCGTGCTGATCTAAAGAACGTGTCGTCGCTATGTTCCTGGCCTACACCCAGGGACCAAACTGATTGCTTTAATAGGTCGGCTCGGCTGAACCATTGCATAAGTACACAAAAAAATATGCCGAGATAATGTATCCTTTACCGACACTGCTGAAGAAAGAGTCAGTTTGGTAGTGGAAGGCAGCGCATTAGTCCTCCTTCTACTCCGTGAAGTAGTGCTTGTCAAAGCGCTACTGCTAATGTTTCCTGATGACTCCAAGCTATTATGTGTCTTATTTGATGTGAGAGAATAAGCAATCGGATGTTCCCTCGTGTAGATTGGTGATGAGAGACGAGAGCGCGTCGTGAGCTTTCAGTCGCTACCGATGAACCCTACTGAAAGAAATCATCTGGTACGTGACAAGGATCTTGTATTTATGCGTGACGTACTGATCAAATTTAGAGTATTAATGCTCGGCGAGAAGAAAAGTTCGGTCTGTACAGATGACTATTATCACGTACCGCCGTCAAGACTTTCCGCTTGTCCCAGCATATGGCACGTTGGCTGTCATATTCCTCGGTGTGTAATTTCTTGGTCTTTCACGATCCCGACGAGAACAATTTCATGTTGACAAGCTTTCTCGGCGTCCCAATTATGATTTTCGATATGACATGGGTCATCAGTGAGGTTGTAATGAAGAAGACATTGAAATTCTGTTTACGCTGCGCTAAACTGGGGCTCACGCAATGATTTTGACACTTGGCTGTCGATTTGTAATCAAAACGCGAAGTCGTATGTAAATGATTCTTTCTACACGGAAAATTTATTAAATATCTTCGACACTCTAGTTGGGGTAATTCTTGAAGTTGACCGAACCAACGAGCAACAGCATCAAGCCTTAAGCATTTGCTGGTCCGCTGCTGACGTATACGATATACGTCTTTGAACTACCGCGCGCTAAGATCCCTGCTGAGGACGACCTCCATGGCCGATTGGTGCATAAACTAATGACACTTCAGCTGGTGGTCACCTGGGTTGTAAATAGACGTTCGCAGCCATTTCTCGTGTGTTTTCCGGCCACGTTTGTACAAGTACATCCAGAAATGGGTACGCTCCTTTGAAACATGCCAGCGCGAGAAGCCTGCGCAGTCTTTAAGAGCCCCATTGTAATCACTTCCGATCACCACGGAAGTCTTGCGTTCAGTCAGCATGGATTGAATCCTTGGTCTTCCACCAGATGGACAAAAATGCACCGGCGTACTGGATGTTACAGATAAATTTGGCAAAGTGATTCATTTCTCTTCAGCCTTTGCGTACGTTACGGCGAAGACAAACGCGAAGATTATTCTTGATCTTATATTCAGATACTACGGCTTACGAGATCCATTGGTCCGGACCGCGATCCGCGTTCCGCATTGAAATTTTGGGCTGAGTAGTTTTAACTATTGGGCACGCGAAGGATCTTGTCTCTGACAGCCCATATAAACACGGATGGTCAAGCGGAAATCGTGAACAGCGTACCTAAAACTGTCCTGCGCAGTTATGCGATTTCGTGTACGTCGCGGAGTTGATTTCGTCCCCTTGCCGATTTGGCAATCAACAATGCAGTTCGAGCGTCAACATTTTTGACGCCAATTTTTTTAGCAACGCGGGGCACCCTCGCATTCCAGCGCTTCTTGCTCTTTACGATTTTAAATTTCGGTTTATTTGCTTGATGGGGGAGTATCTGGCGATGGCATTGCGGTGAAAAAAATGGAACATGGGATACGTTGAAGGTACAGTTGCTGCCGATTCAACTTGTGCTGTTATTTCTGTGGACAATGGAATTCGAGTACCAGCGCGATGTACCCTATCGCGCTCTCGTCGCAAATTTTGCTTACAAAAAGTCCAATTCACCTGTAAGTTTGGCTGCTTTGACGTAATTCTTTTTACAACGACAAGGCATTACGCGTTTTGTGCATCGTGCCCTTAAAAGAAAGTCGGTAAATGCATGGAGAACTTTGATAAGAGAGGTCAAAAGAATAAGTTGGCGTCTAAAGAAGGTGCGATGATCAGCAGCGCTAAGATTTATTGTCCTTTCAGGGTTGTTAAGGCTCACGGAGATGCTTACACACTAGACGTACCTACCAACATGCGTTTGCACCTAATGTTCTATGACGGCCGCCGAAAGGGATACCTGCCGGCGGAAAAATCTTTGAACCTTTCCGCTCTTACGTTCCAGCTCAAATATCGACTCCATCTGTCTACAAACGCTGAAGACGACACGAATTGAGTTCTGCAAGATCGCATACTTACTCGCTTAGTTATAGAGCTGTAACTACGGCAGTCTACAGCTGGCATAGCCTCTCAGTTAGCCGCTGCTGCTCCCATTGAGTCTTCTTGGCCTCCGTATCAGCAGCTGCACGATCATCGATCACTCTTCGTAGTCTCTCATTCGTCAATTAGGTCATTCTTCACCTCTCTAGCATCAACATGTCGAATTGCAGATTATCGTACGACGGTACCGGCGTCTAATATTTAGAATTGGTGCTCAACTCAAGAGGCTTTTCGTCGTGATGCTTTCTTCTAGGTATGTACATCGGGCACGCGACGTTAGATTCTAGAAATTAATGTCGTTAATTACGAACTCGTGAGATGTGGGCAGAGTAGTGACTTAACGCCTTCAAGATTAGAACCGAGTCGAACTATAAAATTCGTTGGTTGGGTTATTCACCAGCGAAAGTCATGTAGGAGACTCGAAGCATGTAGGTTCGCGATGTTGCTAGCGCTGTCGAGAATTACGATACAATAAGAGATAAGCATTCCCATCCAACGCTGCCGACTACTCCCACGATCTTGTGAGCCGTAACACTCGCAAGCTGGCGATCAACAACGATCACCAGAACGACTGCGGGGTCCACTATGAGGCTCAGGATCATTTGGGTGACATGACGGCCCAGGGCGACTGCGTGTACAACCACGATATTCGTACTTGAAACAATCATTGCTGCGTGAACGTCGTCGTCGGTACATAGGATGCTCTCTTATGTGACGAATTGCAGATACTCGGAGCTCTGAGAGGCTAAGTCTGAGACACCAATTTGTCGAATCCTCGCCTGTGTTGCACGTGACATCGCCTTGTGATACGATGGGCACCCTTAGCGGACATGGACATAACATGTAAAACTCATTTTGAGTCAGGCGACATATGCCTTGAATAAATATCCAATAGAGTTATCGAAATGAGTCTTCTCGCGCCGGATAAATAGAACGTGAAAGATGATGCTTTATGTCAAAATGCATTCCAGTGTCTGATGAAGGCGTACCAAGATTGTTGCAGCGCGTCATCGGTCTTCTTGTTTCACCGCTTTGCACCGCACAGCACGGTGCCGTGTGAAGAGGTGTATTTATTGACTCAAGTAATTTAGGTAATTTGTACCTTTAAGGCTGTAAAAGCCCCGTTTCTTCTATTCATTGTTCATGAGTAGCGGTGCCTGCTCGATTTTGACTTTTGCCTCATGTTCCAACCGCTGGCTGACATCTCAGCGCAAGAATGACCAGAACTCATGTTTCTCAGTTGTATTTGACTGAGCAGGTCCGACGATCAAGAAGACCTGCCGCTGAGTTTAGTTGGACTTCTTGTTAAAAATAATTTTCCTTTGTATAATAATTATCTTGTGGCAAGCGAAGCAAAAATAACAGAGGGTGATAATGCAATAGGACATCTATTATTAAAAGTAGTCGTTAGATGTTACTACATCTAACTTATAATAGGTGTCGGTAGTATCCGCATAGTGGAACCGCGCTTAAAATTACTAATTGTCAATTATAGAGGTGACAATTCCAAATAATTACCAAATGTCAAATCGTTCTACATCGAAATGGTTCCTATAAGTAAGGGAACGTATTCACACGCATTGCGAATTATTAAAGATATAAATAAACTGAGCAAGATTAAAATTAAATACGAAAGTACTTTCTCAAAGCTCTAAGATCTCACGACGGTCACAGGCCTTTAACTAAGTCATATTAGCAGTTATTCCGCAACCTATCAATAACGGATATTGCTAACTATCGTTAAGGATGTTGAATGTATGTAGTAGTTTTGATGTGATTACATTTAAAAACTGTTTTAATTTTCGCTGGCTAGGTAGCATAAAAGATAATTCAGTTCTCCTCTTTGTAAACTCAAGACGTGTCTTGTTCAGACGTCTTGATCGTCATAGTTTAGATCATGTAATGAGGCAATTATAAGATAACTTTATTAATACATTC